AATCCTTTAACAAGGGGTTCCTTTGGATCCTTCCCAAAGAAGGATTATTCCATTGTTGCTGAAAAGTCCACCGCTTTTAACAACCATCCCAAATGATCAGATTGTTTGGGTACTCATTTATTATTATTATTATTATTATTATTATTATTATTATTATTATTATTATTATTATTATTATTATTATTATTATTATTATTATTATTATTATTATTATTATCTGAGCAAAGATAATCTCCCCTTTTTGGTTTTCTTTTCTCGGCCGTCTCGATTTGAAAAGTTTTCTCCCGCTGCAAATCAATTCTTTCTCCGACATGTTGCTTCATTGTGTGTTTTGCTGGTGTGTTTGTTTTTCTGATTTATTTTTGCCAGGATAGATATGATTGTGGGTCCCCCGCCCTCTTCAACTCCCCGGCATAAGAAGTATTCAGCCAAAGGATCGCCCCAATACTCGCCTAGGTTAGGATATAGGCAATTTTGTTCTGAGCTTTTGGTATGCTTCCGGTCGAAACGTTTCATGCCATGTTCAAGGGATGCTCTTGATCCCCTCTTGCTGATTCACTTCCCTCTGAATGGCTTGCTCTCCTGGATGCGCTTAATTTTTTTATTTTTAGAGGCACTGAAAATGGGTCTTCACACCATGCAGCCTTAAGACACGGCCAGGAGCGCTTACGCAATCGTCTGATTTTCATTGTGGTGAAATCGTTCAAGATGCTTTATGTTTTTTTTATGCACGGAATTGCATTTAGCTGCTGTAATTTCTATTGCTGGGACATGCAGCCTTGGCGCTGATAAACGCCATTCCTTCAGAGAGAGAGAGAGAGAGAGAGAGAGAGAGAGAGAGAGAACGAGAACAATGGGGTCCTGTTACAGGTCGTTCTTGACCCAAAGGTGCTTTTTCCAGAGGCAACTGGACTTCCTTTGTTTTCCCTTGAAGAGGTGTCACTTCCCATCCAGGAAGCTTCCTTTAGTTCTTCAGTTCTACAGAACTGAAAAAGCTTCTTGGAGGAGAAACAACACATCTTCAAGGAAAAACGAAGGAAGTCCAGTTGCCTCTGGAAAAAGCACCTTCGGGATAACCATGGCCTGGATGACTGAGAATCACCACAGACAGATAGTCCTCGACTTACAACTATTCATTTAGTGACCGTTCAAAGTTAAAACGGCACTGAAAAAGGTGACTTATCCCTGTTTTTCACAGTGACGACCATTGCAGCATCCCTGTGGTCACGTGATCAAAATTCAGTCGCTTGGCAACTGACGGTTGCGGTGTCCCGGAGGGGTCATGTGATCCCCTTTTGCGGCCTTCTGACAAGAAAAGTCAATGGGGAAGCCAGATTCACTTAATAACCGTGTTCGTAACTTAACCGCTGCAGTGATCCACTTAACAACTGTGGCCAGAAAGGTCGTAAAACGGGGCAAGGCTCACTTAGCAACTGTCTTTGCTTAGCAACAGAAATTTTGGGCTCAACTGTGGCCCTAAATCAAGGGGCTACCTTTACTATGATGCTGAAATACATTGGGGAAGAGTTTTAACTAGCCAAGAGTTTGTAAGTTGAGTCAACTTCATTCGGACGTCATTTCTTTTTTGGTTTGAAACGTTTCACTGCTCCTCTGTGTAGCTTCCTCAAACCAAAAAGGAAAGACATCCAGTTGTCATAATTCATCTTTCACACACAACTCTGCCTGGATGACTGAGAAGCTTTCTCGGCAGACTAGCCAGAAATTTATAGAGATGTTCCTGGAACTTCAGCTGCAAATGTAGGGAGTGTTTTCTACTTGATCTTTTTTTTATGGAAGAGAAGACATATTATAGGCATAGATCTTCGGCCTATGACCAAGGTGTTCGCTTAACGACCACTGCAAAACATGTTGTATAATTGCGTCTGGTCACAGGATGCCTGGACTTACAACCGCAATGACTTGGTGTCATAATTCTGGGCTCAATTCCCACCATAATTCGAGGACTACCTATAGGCAGTTTTACCATACCTCAAATAATAGAAGGAGACGTGAAACAGTGTTATACCCATTTGGTTTGAAAGCCAAAGGTCATATTATTAAGGATAGAATAGTTTGTTAGTTTTTTTCAGGCCTTCTTACTAAAACCCAGCAAGATAGTTTACCCTTTCAAAGTAATGAATAAGTAATAATAATCCAATAGCATAACTAGTAATAATCCATTAGTATATAAACAGAGAGCAAACCCCAACTCCCTTCTAGCCCTGATGATGTTACCTAGTTGGGTCATGAAACGTCTGAAAGAAAATAACCAAGCTCAAGAGCACCAAGGACCCCACAGTCCTCCTCCTCCTCCTCCTCCTCCTCCTCCTCCCCCCAAACACCCTCCTTTCTAGCACTGATGGTGTTACCTAGTTGGGTCATGAAACGTCTGAAAGAAAATAAC